TATTTGTATATCTATATGCTTATATATTTGTTTTCGTACGTAATTATCTATTTACACAGTTATGTATTTATACATATTTATGAAGTTATATAGCTACATATCTGTATTCTTTCATTTACATATGTATTTATGGAAATCTATCTATCTATCCATCTCTCTATCTATCTAACTCTCTATCTAACTCTCTATCTGTCTATCTATCTATCTATCTATCTGTCTATCTATCTATCCATCTCCATGTGTTCATTCGTGCATTGTGTCTCTATATATATATATATATGTGTGTATATATATATGTAGACACCTGCATATACGTGTATATGTATATATGTCTTTATTACTCATGTAACTTTGTATATATGTATTTCTGTACATGTGTATGTATGTATGTATGTATGTATGTATGTATGTATGCATGTATGTATGTACGTACCTATGTATGTCTTTGTGTGCGATTCCACGCGAGGGTGATCTACTAGAACAGAAACGCACCCTAAACCCTAAACCCTAAACCCTAAAACCCTACACCCTAAACCGGTGCCAAAATATGCTGCACAGCGGACTCCATGAGCTCCGGGCAATTTCGAATCTCGATACGGCACCCGACCGGAGCCCTGCAGACTCGCACCATACCGTGGAGCATTGGTGTTTAGGATACTTGTTGAAACTTGTTGGGCGTTCAGAGGCTCGCACCTTCGGGGACACCTCAGGGATCTAGGGCTTCGGGGTTCAGAAGTTCAGAGGCTTACTTGCGGATTAGGGGCTTGGGATGGAATGTTTCGGGGCTTCCCCTGCAACTTCATCCCAGCAAGTGAATCAACGCTTGTTGCGGTACAGCCAGGCAAAATGCTCAGGGAAACAAGGCCGGGTCCGGGATGCCTATCTCTGCGACTGTGAGTAGAGAGTTGCGCTCAGACTTGAGGAGCATTCGTGCCCGTTTGCTCGGTCCGCGGACATTGCAGCTACGACCACCAGTTCCACCAGTGCCACTACCACTCCTTCCGCTGCGAGAGGAAGTCAGAACTGATGATGGTAGTAGTGGTGCTGCGCAGTGGGGTGATGTTTGGTGGTGGTGTTGTGGCAGCTGTTGTGCAGGCATTCGTGGTCTTCGCTCCACTTACAAAATCTCTTCGGGGCAGAGGGACCTCACGCAGCGCGGTGATGACACGGCCCAGCGTCAGCAAGCTCTGATTGATGGAGCGGCGCCTGGGAATTGACTGTTGGAGGCTTGGGCTTTGGGATGCAGATTTCGAGATGACCTGAGGATGGGAGGCTCTGATTCTACGGGTGTTGAGGCTTCATGCCTACGGGACTTTCTGAGTTTCGCAGTCTAGACTGTTGGGGGTGCTTTGAAAACAATGAGAAATTGGCACCCTGCATGAGGAAGGGTTTGCGGCTAAGGCCAAAGACCTAAGGATGTAAAGTTGGAGTGATACTATGAGCACACGACCTTGGGCTGGAATGTGGCAGTCATGTTCTGTGGTGCTGCGTATGGACTCTGTTTACATCCACCACGAATACGACAACAAATATCGACCTATGTAGGTCCGTCCGTCAGTTCCCTCCGTCCGTGCATCCATGAGTCCATCCATCCATCCATCCATCCATCCATCCATCCATCCATCCATGTATCCATGCATCCATGTGTCCATCCTCCATCCATCCATGCATGCAGGCTGCATGCGTACATACATACGGACTTACATACCTACATCTGCACGGGTGCTGGGAAGCAATCTGCGGATGCTCTCTGAGCTCGGAACTCACGCTCCTCTTCCTGCCCTGCTAGGAGCCGAGCAGCCTGGGAGGCATCCTGCAGAACACAGACTGAATCTTCAAAGAGACATGCAGTAGTAATTTAATACGGTATGAATGTAGGCAAGGATGGACAAGGCCTACAGAAATAGAGACATGTATATGTACGCATGTATGTGTGTTTGTGTGTATGTATATATATATATATATATGTGTGTGTGTGTGTGTATGTGTGCTCATGTGTATCTTTGTCTGATTATGGATCTACGTAGTTATTTATTCTTGCAGTTATCTATGTATATCTGTACTTGAAACCATGTTAATGATTGTGTTTCGAAATATAGGTATATTGTAAATATGAAATAAACGTACACATATATATATATATATATGCATCAATTTACTTGCTGGCAGTTTGTCTAACTACTTATGTAGTTGTTTATGCCAACCGGCTGACACGCCGCCCGGACACTCTTTTTTCGGCATCTTTTCGTTCTTGCTGCTTCGACAGTTTGCTCTATAGCGTGCTTTTTCCTTGGGTTTTTGAACATTTATGTTTTGTTGTGCTCGTTCTTGCTCTTGCGCTGATTTTCGCTTGCGCTGCGATTTTGCTCTTTTCAGGCTCCAAAACTCGAAGTTGTGCTGCTTTTGAGCGCGTTTGTATGCTGGAAGGGCCGTTGTCACTGCATTTTACGGCTGATTCCCCTTTTTTTTCTTTCTGTTTCTGTGCTTTCGCAGACTCTCGTCGTTATGACCGACTCCGTTATTTCCCACAAAGCATCCGTGTGGCAAGCATGTTGACGTCCACAAAGACTCCGTCCGTCTTTGCAGAGCATCCATGTGGCAACCATGATAACGTCCACAAAGACTCCGTCCGCTCCTGCACAACATCCATGTGGCAACCATGATAACGTCCACAAAGACTCTGTCCGTTTTCGCAAAGCATCCATGTGGCAACCATGTTAACCACAAGGACTCCGTCCGCTTTTGCAGAGCATCCATGTGGCAACCATGTTAATGTCCACAAAGACTCCGTCCGTTTTTGCAGAGCATCCATGTGGCAACCATGTTAACCACAAGGACTCCGTCCGCTTTTGCAGAGCATCCATGTGGCAACCATGCTAATGTCCACAAAGACTCCGTCCGTTTTTGCAGAGCATCCACGTGGCAACCATGATGGTTCGTGCGCAGTCTGAAAAGACTCCTCCTTACAAGTTTGACAAAGGGTCATGTTTTCTTGCCTAACTTCCCTAACCCCCCAAAATAGCCCTTTGGAGCTAGAATGCCGTACATTACAATACTTTCGGGTTTTCGGAATGTGAAAAAATCAGGGCGGCAGGTCAGCCGCCTACCTTTAGTATTCATTTGCTCATGTGCTTATTTATGTACTTACATACGCATGTAGTTATTTATTTTAGGATCCATCTATTCGTATATTTACATGTATATCTGTTTGCTTTTGTTTCATGTTTTCATTTGTTTACAGAAGCATGTAGTCTATACTTAGGCACTGGTATACACACATGTTACTGAAGGCAGGCGGACTATAGGCAAAGTGGCAGAACTTGATAGCTACATGCATAAGATCGCATGAGCTTTGTTGCCAGTGGAAGGGCAGCTTCAACTGTGGTTTAACGCTTAACCTTCTTGGCATCCTCCGGGTAGATGAAGCCGCCCTTCTTCGCACATTCGCTGCCGGCCAAATCCACGAGGTGTAGCTTGCCCTGAGAATCAACGCGTGGGGGCACTGGCTGTAAGTTGTCGATTCTCAGGTCCTGAAACCCCGAACCTAAACCTGACAAGAAAACATACTAGTGCAAAAGACTGAACCTTTCGTTGTCAAGATTTGGGATCAACAACAAGCCCCACTACCGCCGGTGGCTGTACACCACAGCGCCTTTCTAAGCTCCTCTAGCATCGCTGCCAGGATTTCTAAACCCTCAACTGAATCCCAGGATCCCGAAGTCTGAGCCCAGAGCCGAAGCCACAAAGATCCGGATCCAAAGGGCTTCGGCTGGAAGAAGGGATAAGAAGGGTTTAGGGTTTAGGGTTTAGGGCTTAGGGTTTAGGGTAGGATTCGCTTGCCACGATCAGCTTTCTTGCCCCCTAAACCCTAAACCCTAAACCCTAAACCCTAAAAGCGGAAAAACCCCCCCACCCGCCCCCCGAGCGGATGCCTGGTTCTCCAACTCGCCGCCTGCCACTCGCCTCTGACATCGCACCTGACGGCGTCTTTTCTGGGTAGCGGCTGATGGTCTTAGGGTTTAGGGTTTAGGGTTTAGGGTTTAGGGGTTCGGGTTTAGGGTTTAGGCTTTAAGGTGGTTTAGGCTTTAAGGTGGTTTAGGGTTTAGGGTTTAGGGTTTAGGGGTCTTATCTTCGCTCTTCGCCTACGTACCTCCATCACATCTAGCTCCATTGGTTCGGAACCACAAACTCCTGTATCGCATGAACTTCTTGACCGGGCCCCTCCTTATGAGCCGTTTTGCAGGTATGCGGTCACCTATGCTGCTCTGACTGCTTGTAAGATATGACAGATATGATTCTCTGTGTGTCGCTGATATTGCCCATAATGTGAGCATGCTGTCTCTGTCTTTGCGATGACTCTATCGTGACTACTTCCCGCGCAAGAGAACTACGACTACCAAGTTGTCTAAGCCTCTCTGTCCTCCTATTCTTGCTGGTGCCGCCGCTTCTGCTTCACCTTCCTCTACGACGACGACCGCCACCACCGCCGTCACCACTAACAGTGGCACCTGTAATGATAGTACTGACCATACGAATACCACTTCGACAACAGCTACTACTTACCGCTAGTGGAGTATCAGGATCAGCATCATCTTTGTCTGGGTCACTACCCCTATCATTGCTCCCCTTTTCCTTGACCTTTAAATGGGCCAAGTTCCTTCACAGGAACTCTGGTTCAAGATCCGACAAGCCGCCCCCGCCCCGCAGGGATGACAAACAGGCAATCTCGCAGCTCAACCATAAAAGCAATACGAGCAACGATCTGCCTTCATCGTGAAGATGCTGTGGGATCGGCTGCTCCGTGCATTCACGCGGGTCTCGGCAACCCGCCTTTTCTCCTGGCATCGCTGGCGCCTCCAGCCTAACCCAAAACTCCTGACACCGAACCACTAAACACTGCAGAACCCGAAACTACGTATGTGAACTGGTCGCTGCAATTGGTCACTGCATCTTGCTTCAGCACAGGAGAAAACAATGTGCTGTATGGTGGTGGAAACGGTGCCGACTCTGACACATTGCAGTGAAAAAGCACGATTTAGCCGAGAACCCAGGAAACCATGGAATCATACAAGCCACCAAAGCGACAGTACCCGCCAATGAAATAAAGGCGTTCGGCCTCGATTAGCAACTTAGCATGCCGAATGAGCGACTTGTGCCTGCGCACGACGAACCACTTCGAGGATGTCGTCCATGTTATGGACTTCCACCTTTCGGAGCTGAACTGTCGGCATGAACGATGGTTGCGATCACGCTTGCTACCGCAATCTAGGAGTTGAAGCATCCACACAGAAGAGATGTTTGTGATAGTGAAGCTGCGATGAATCTGTGTCCTTATGCTTTCCATGCGCCGAAACCCCCTGAAGAAAGGACCCTGCTTCTGTTCGTGTCCGTGTAGCCATGACGGTCTCGAAGCTGAAGTAGATGTACATAACTCCAAAGACTTTAAGAAGTAGAGTGGGGGGGGCGGTGTAGGGGTCTATTGTGGTATGGCTATACACGGGGATAGTTGGAAAACCCAGGTTCAAAAACAGGTTCAACCCAAGTTCAACCCGGGTTCTACAAAGTGTTTGGACTTCCTTGTTGCCCAATGAGTGCCCCCTTCAAGGCAGTACAGCTCCATGTGCATGCATGTCTTGACTTAATCAGCGATGTGTCTTCACTTGCCGCATTTTGTGCTTTCAAGTCATCAGAGTCTTACAGTACCTAGTTGATATGCACGGGGAGACGTGTGCATGTAGAGAGAGAGGGAGGAAAACATGTGTGTGAACATACATCGTCACATGCAGCACCAGAACCCTGAAGCATCCCCAGGTGCAGCCTAGCCTAGGTATTTTTGCTGTGGCTTCGAAGCCGCGAAAGCTTGGGCCCCACTTCGGGGGAACTCTGCCTAGGAGCTCTCGGAGGAGAGAAAGCTCAGGAAGTCCTGGACATCGTGCTCTCTAAAGGGGATCCCCATCTTCAGGAGGTAGGCGACTTCCGCCGTCTGAGAGGCGCCGAGACCAGATTCCGGCCTCACCCTGTTCTTCGCAGCATCGCTAGAGAGATCCTCCCAGCTTAGCTTCCCTTGGCCCTTCTTCCCTTGGAAGTAGAAGACGTGGAGCTCTTGCTTCAGTTCCACGGCTCGGTCCACGTTCTTCTTCCAGACTTCGAACCATTGGCAGCCCCAGGGTGCTCGCCCACCGTTCTCCTGGCCAAGATCCCGAGCTGAACGCAGGGCTCGCGCATACTGCTTCTGCCACTCTAGGTCGTTCTGCTCGCTCTTGATCAATAGAACCTGATTCATGGCGTCGGCATCTGCCACTTCGTGACGCAGCTTCTCCCGGCTTTCAATGCTGTCGGCCTCGCACGGATCCACTTCCACCACGCGGAGGTATGCCGATGCCCGAATTTGACCGTAGATGGCATGACACCAGCACTTGCCCGGCGTGTCCGGATTCATGGAGTGCTGTCCTAAACCAGAGGCCGAGTCTGTCAAGAACACGCATGCCAAAGAGCACAGGTCCTCTTCAGTAACGAAGTCATCCCTGACAGCTTTAACGGCCTTGTCCCAGAGCTTATTATAGACCCCCGGAAAGGAGACGATACACTTTGCAGCCCTTTCGTTGATGTGCCCCGGGAAAGTGATGCGCTTTGACGCAAAGCCGTAGCCCGACAGGTCCGCGAGTTTTCGGAATGCGTCCATGGGGTTCCGAGGCCCCATCATCCCACTCAAAGCCAAAGCTGTGAAGATCTGCACGCAGATGTCAACGGTAAGCCATGTCATCTCAATGCGCCTCACGAACTGCGCCCAACTCCACAAGCCCAGAGCAGGGCCAAGCAGCACCAGAAGAGCGTTCAAGTACAAAAAGCAGGCCGTTAGCTTGAGGTCCAGATCAAGGTCCGCACGCCCTGCCACCATAGCTTTGCTCCCCGCCTGGCACAGAGCCCCACACTGGGTGAAGAGTGTCGTCCAGCAGCAGAAGAAGCTGAAAAAAAGCAGGAAGGATGCTGGAGCACCAACACGCTCCACCGTTAAATTGCCTTCCTTCCCAAATTC